ATATATATATATATATATAGAAGGAAGTCTCAAAAAGTTTTGACTGTCTTTATTATTGCCGAAACCATACTTTTTGATTAATCAGCCGTGAATTTTTGAGTTATAACATGTCTTCATAGTTGACATAGTTATTTATCAAGGCGATTAAAATATCTTTCGATAGGGACCTTCAAAATCCGTACTAATACAGTAATTATTTTTTAACGCGGTATACACATAATACCTTCATTAAAATACAAATAACATTTCTGGCTAGTAATGACAATCAATGACATTAAAATACTACTTCAATTTATTCCACCAAAGAAAGGTTAGACAACACCGCCTAACTCGAACCCGTACTCTTTGGAATCGTTTTCCTCTACAAGCGTCCTCTTACACAAGCCCATATCATAATTAAACCTTCTACATAAGTGCCACAATGATTGGTTGGGGTATTCTGTTTGTAGTGGTAATGATAAGTTTACTGTAAGCATGGAGGTATAAAAAATACCTCCATGCTGTAAGTATCTCCTATTCAAGACATTTTAGTGAAGAAATACCAAAAATCTCAAGCAACAAAAATACATACAGTAGAACAAATCCGAAAGGTCCACTGATTAATCTCAGATAAGATAGTGTAATACATACCGTACTCGCACGAATAAGCGCCCCGTTTGAATAAGCGCCCCTTCTAATTTGAATAAGATTTTCTTTTTAGCAAGTCAATAATCCAATCTATCCTGGGACTGTGGTTGTTGGCATGATTTGAGCTGTAGAGTGGAAACACATTCTCCTTCAGTCAATATCAAAATGAGGATATTTCTCTTGGACAGATGAGAGCTCCGATTCCTGGACAGACAGTATATTTCCAACTTTAATTTTTTTACATATTTGTCTATGCCTAGTACTACTCCTTTTTCTCTTTTTCCGACCTTTAGCACATTCTCATCTAGTTTTCAAGAAAAAATACAATGATCCTGCCATCCTGCTAATCTCAATCGGCCGATGGCCAACAAGCTAACCACTAGCATCTGCTAGTTTGCTGTTATGTAAATATTCACGCATTCTTGTAATAAGCCATTTTCTCTGGACGATTAACTTTTCTAACCACCATTCGTGATGTCCTTATATAATCTTTTTTCATTCAAAAAGTGTCTCTTGAATTAAAAATTTTTCCATAAGAACCCCTCGATTTTCATCTATTTCCATAAGCGCCCCCTCAATTTCCACTCTGTTTTTATAAGCGCCCCGTTTGAATAAGCGCCCCTCATAAAGTGCAAAAAATATTTTAAGCGCCTGGGCGCTTATTCGCGCGAGTACGGTACTCCAAGTATCAAAATGCACGCCATCGTGTCGGGATTCAATATTTTGACATTAATTATGTCATCACCAGGAATAAAAAAATTATCCATATTTGCAAGCTTATATGCACTAGTACCAAAAGTAGAACAAAACAATAACGGAAATCACCCAACATTTACAGCAAACGCACAACATAAGACAATAAGCTGTAGAGCCATTTTGGAAAGAATGAAATTGTAAATGCCTTTAATCATTTTAGTGTCTCGTTAATCCTATTACCCGGACTAAGATTTACAAAAAAAAAAATGTCATCTATATTAGCATACCTTCTAGAAAGGATTTTGTATTATGTTTTTGTTGAAATATTCAGAAACTTTCATTTTGGCTTCTAGTAGATTATTTTGAAATATATCTTATATATCCTATTCATGATTTTGGAAAATTGGCTTATCCTTATTGCGTCTAAACCATTTTACCTTTGGTAATAGTTTATATTGGATCTACTAGCTGCATTGATAATTTTATTTTAATTTGTATTTGTGTAGACTGTCTGTTTACACTGCGTTGGAACTATTAAAGTATTCTGATATAAACGTTGTTTAAATCTGATAGACCAGGCTATAACTGAGATAGGTGCCACTTGGAGAGGTAGAAATTCTCATATGGTTTTTCTAGACCAGTTTTTTATGGGGAATCAGAATATGTGAGGTAAAAGGGGTGTAACCTGAGAACTTTCGCATGAGGGCGCTT